ATATTTATACAGCAATAGAGAAAAAAGAAGTCCCACTGGGGATCTTCATTGACTTATATAAAGCTTTCAATACAGTTGACCACGACTTGCTCCACACAAAATTGTTGCACTATGGTATAAGAGGGCACTCCCTCAACTACCTAAAAGTCATACCTCAGCAACAGAAGCCATATGTGTACACAAAAGGGGCAAATCTTCCGCACAGGCAATTACAGTTGGTGTCCCACAGGGAAGTGCCCTAGGCCCTCTTCTCTTTCTCATATACATAAATGACCTACCGAATGCATCGCAACTACTCAAACCCACACTATTTGCAGATGACACTACATACGTCTACTCCTCACCCGAGCCCAGTCATGCTAGCCAATACTGTAAAAACCGAATTTACAGAAAATATCAACTGGAGAGGACCAACAAACTTTCTCTAAACACTGACAAAACCCAATATACATTCATTTGGTAACAGAGCTGCAGATGTGTCTCTTAACAAAAATGATAAATGGATCACCTATCACAAAACTCACAGAGGGGAAAATTCTTTTGGAATCCACCTTGATAACAGACTCAAATTTCAAAAACATGTACAACAAATTTCCAAAAAAATTTCCAAGACCGTAGGCATACTATTGAAGATACGGGAAAAATGTTCCCCAGTCAGCCCTCCTGGCCCTATACACTCACTTATTTACCCCTATCTCACCTATGAAATTTGTGCATGGGGCTCAACAACAATAAACCATCTCAGATCACTAATCACCCAACAAAAGGCTACAGTCAGAATGATAACAAATTCCCACTACAGACAGCACACTCCACCAATATTCAAAACTCTAAACCTACTCACAATACAAAACATCCATACTTATTACTGCACCTATTACATACATAGAACACTTAACTCTGATATTAACCCTCCCCTCAAACATCTCCTTACCAACCTCAACAGAACACATGACCATAACACAAGGCACAGATCACCCTTTGATGTTCCTCATGTTCATCGCACAGTATGCAAAAACTCAATGCAAATAAAAGGCCTTAAAATCTGGAATTCATTACCTGTGAATATAAAAGAAACACTGTCTGTTTATAATTCAAGTATCTTCTCAAAAATCACAAACTCACCCACAACTAAATAAATACTGAATAATTGTATCTCATAAATTGTATCTCATATATGTATCATGACAGAAATGTTAAAAGCAGGGGGGGATATAGTGTTGGAGTGGTTGGTACTTTTGTTTAATAAATGTATGAAAGAGGGGAAGGTACCTAGGGATTGGCGGAGAGCATGTATAGTCCCTTTATATAAAGGGAAAGGGGACAAAAGAGACTGTAAAAATTATAGAGGAATAAAAATATAAACACAAATGCAGTATAATGTGATCCTTTATTGACAACGTTTCACCCACACAGTGGGCTTTTTCAAGTCACACACGGATCTGTGTGTGACTTGAAAAAGCCCACTGTGTGGGTGAAACGTTGTCAATAAAGGATCACATTATACTGCATTTGTGTTTATATTTCCATTGTGTCGGTATTTTATACCATTTATTTCCATAGAGGAATAAGTTTACTGAGTATACCAGGAAAAGTGCACGGTAGGGTTATAATTGAAAGAATTAGAGGTAAGACAGAATGTAGGATTGCGGATGAGCAAGGAGTTTTCAGAGTGGGTAGGGGATGTGTAGATCAAGTGTTTACATTGAAGCATATACGTGAACAGTATTTAGATAAAGGTAGGGAAGTTTTTATTGCATTTATGGATTTAGAAAAGGCATATGATAGAGTGGATAGAGGAGTAATGTGGCAGATGTTGCAAGTATATGGAATAGGTGGTAAGTTATTAAATGCTGTACAGAGTTTTTATGAGGATAGTGAGGTTCAGGTTAGGGTGTGTAAGAAGAGGGAGACTACTTCCCAGTAAAAGTAGGTCTTAGACAGGGATGTGTAATGTCACCATGGTTGTTTAATATATTTATAGATGGGGTTGTAAAGGAAGTAAATGCTAGGGTATTCAGGAGAGGGGTGGGATTAAATTTTGGGGAATCAAATTCAAAATGGGAATTGACACAGTTACTTTTTGCTGATGATACTGTGCTTATGGGAGATTCTAAAGAAAAATTGCAAGGTTAGTGGATGAGTTTGGGAGTGTGTGTAAAGGTAGAAAGTTGAAAGTGAACATAGAAAAGAGTAAGGTGATGAGGGTATCAAATGATTTAGATAAAGAAAAATTGGATATCAAATTGGGGAGGAGGAGTATGGAAGAAGTGAATGTTTTCAGATACTTGGGAGTTGACGTGTCGGCGGATGGATTTATGAAGGATGAAGTTAATCATAGAATTGATGAGGGAAAAAAGGTTAGTGGTGCATTGAGGTATATGTGGAGTCAAAAAACTTTATCTATGGAGGCAAAGAAGGGAATGTATGAAAGTATAGTAGTACCAACACTCTTATATGGGTGTGAAGCTTGGAGATGGTTGGAGGCAGTGGAGATGTCCTGTTTAAGGGCAATGTGTAGTGTAAATATTATGCAGAAAATTCGGAGTGTGGAAATTAGGAAAAGGTGTGGAGTTAATAAAAGTATTAGTCAGAGGGTAGAAGAGGGGTTGTTGAGGTGGTTTGGTCATTTAGAGAGAATGGATCAAAGTAGAATAACATGGAAAGCATATAAATCTATAGGGGAAGGAAGGCGGGGTAGGGGTTGTCCTCGAAAGGGTTGGAGAGAGGGGGTAAAGGAGGTTTTGTGGGCAAGGGGCTTGGACTTCCAGCAAGCGTGCGTAAGCGTGTTAGATAGGAGTGAATGGAGATGAATGGTACTTGGGTCCTGACGATATGTTGGAGTGTGAGCAGGGTAATATTTAGTGAAGGGATTCAGGGAAACCGGTTTTTTTCATATAGTCGGACTTGAGTCCTGGAAATGGGAAGTACAATGCCTGCACTTTAAAGGAGGGGTTTGGGATATTGGCAGTTTGGAGGGATATGTTGTGTATCTTTATATGTGTATGCTTCTAAACTGTTGTATTCTGAGCACCTCTGCAAAAACAGTGATAATGTGTGAGTGTGGTGAAAGTGTTGAATGATGATGAAAGTATTTTCTTTTTGGGGATTTTCTTTCTTTTTTGGGTCACCCTGCCTCGGTGGGAGACGGCCGACTTGTTGAAAAAAAAAAAAATATGTATCTCATAAATATCAACCTGTGACCCAATCAAACTTTGTTACTATTTAACTTCATTACCTAACAGAATACTCCATTCTACTGATTACACAGCAACACAGTAAATGACCATATGACCTGTCTTCGTAATACTCATTTGTACTAAATTGTTATCTGTTTTACAATAATTTTTGTACCACTGAATGTATCACTGCTTAGTTAATCTTAAGTTAATTTTAAGCCTGCCCATAATGCTCTGCATACAAGGGGCTTTTGCATGCTGCACTTTAAAAACTGTATTCCTTGTACTTCTCTGTATCATGTTCAAATAAATAAATAAATAAAAAAGAAGAGTCTTGAATTGATAAACAGACAGTGTTTCTTTTATATTCACAGGTAATGAATTCCAGATTTTTGGACCTTTTATGTGCATTGAGTTTTTACACAGTGTGAGATGGACATGGGAAACATCAAAGAGTGATCTGTGCCTTGTGTTATGGTCATGTGTTCTGTTGAGGTTGGTAAGGAGAAGTTTGAGGGGAGGGTTTATATCTGAGTTTAGTGTTCTATGTATGTAGTAGGCACAATAATAAGTATGGATGTTTTGTATGGTGAGTAAGTTCAGAGTTTTGAATATTGGTGGAGTATGCTGCCTGCAGTGAGAATCTGTCATCATTCTGACTGCAGCCTTTTACTGGGTAATTAATGGTCTGAGATGATTTATTATTGTTGAACTCCATGCACAAATTCCATGGGTGAGATAGGGGTAAATGAGTGAGTGATATAGGGCCAGGAAGGCTGATTGTGGAACATAGTACCGTATCTTTGATAGTATGCCTACAGTCTTGGAGATTTTCTTGGAAATTTGTTGTACATGTGTTTGAAATTTGAGTCTATTATCAAGGTGGATTCCTAAGAATTTTTCCTCTGTGAGCTTTGTGATAGGTGATCCATTTATCATTATGTTAAGAGGAACATCTGTAGTTCTGTTCCCAAACTGAATGTAGTAGGTTTTGTCAATACTGAGAGTAAGTTTGTTAATTATCATTCGGGTTTAGATATTTTCTATAATTCGGTAATTACAGTATTGGCTAGTATGACTGGGCTTGGGTGAGAGAAGACATATGTAGTGTCACCTGCAAATAGTGTGGGTTTGAGTAGTTGCGATGCATCTGTTAGGTCGTTTATGTAAATGAGAAAGAGAAGAGGGCCAAGGACACTCCCTGAGGGACATCAACTGTAATTGGCTGTGTGGAAGAGTTTGCTCCATTTGTGTACAAATATTAGCTTCTGTTGCTGAGGTATGACTTTAGGTAGTTGAGGGAGTGCCCTCTTATACCATAGTGCGATAATTTTATGTGCAACAAATCATGGTCAACTGTATCAAAAGCTTTACATAAATCAATGAAGATCCCCAATGGGACTTCTTTTTTTCTCGAGTGCAGTGTATATTTGTTCTAGCATGTGTATAATAGCATCATTTGTATTTTTATTAGGCCTGAACTCAAACTGACAGGGGTTGAGTATGTTGTGGGAGATGAGGCAGGAATAGATTCGCTTATGAATTAATTTTTCAAAGATTTTAGAGAGGGGGCAAGTTGGATATTGGCCTATAGTTGTTCAAGTCTGCTTGATCTTTTCCTTTATGTATCGGAGAAAGTTTTGGTTATTAAAAAATTTGTTGAACAATGTTGCATTAGTAGGTGACAGTAAGTGAGCTGCTTTCTTATATTAACAGGTCAGGTAAAATTGAAAAAAAAATAAACAATATAACCAATTGATCAATCACTAAATTATAATTGTCAAAATGGAAACTCTTGGGTTGTTGTAGCAGTCTGCATACCTTGGTAACACCCTCAAGGAATGCTTGTTTGGCTAGCCTACCAGGACCCTCCACCTTTGTGCCATCATCCATGGGACCCCAAGAAGCACTAAATACATCCACTTTATCTAGATGGCGAGAGAGTGCTGTTGCTTCTTGGATATCTGTCACAGTTCCATCCACTATACGCACACCTGAAAATAGAATTCTGATATATGAGTTGGGTGTTTCACTTACTAATCTACCTCTTTTACATAATTCACACCCATATTTTATTTCTAATATAGAGAGTCACAGGGCTAATATAATTACCTCCAACCTTGGCCTCATAGGCCACACCAACACCACAGATGGAGTTATTTGGGACGGCAGCTACAATAGCAGCACAATAAGTGCCATGAGAATTGCTGAAACTTGGATCAATTCTAGGTGATGGGTCATCCAAGGGCTGGCCATCGTGGATCACTGAATAACTAATGTCTGGAAACTGGTCAATGGATGAGGCAAATAAATTTTTTTAGTTCTTTATAAAGACTTACACATTAAATCTTTCATAAAAAAAATAATTTATCAAAGTACTATATTTACAAAACAAACTGCACACAAAGTATTTATTTAATCAAAGAGCAATTAAAATGAATACACATTAAAGCTCCATTTTAATAAAAAGTATATATATGGCATTTATTTAACCCTTAAACTGTCCGAACGTAGAGTTATGTTGAAGTGCGTAGCGCTCTGACCTTGATTTTCTCCATTTGAAAGCATGCAAAATCGGACGTAGATCTATGTTCGGAGCACTATGCACGTCAGCGATGATCTACACTTGGACAGTTTATGGGTTAAAAAATATATGCTCTGGCAAGCCTGATATGAACACAAATACTGCTCTCTACAATCAATAATAATGACTGATAAATAATTGCTAATCAAAAGAGGCATTCAAAAATTCTCCCACAGAAACTTAAATTTTTTTAGTAAAATTGCAAATTGGAATCTTCACAGCCTAAAATAAATTTAAACCTTCCACTAAGTACTAGTTTTGAAAGTTAAAATCCAGTCAGAAGTGTCTTTCTCTCCTTGTCACACAGAGATCAACATCACAAAATCCACCATCACATTAAGCTCTAAGCCACCAGTAGCTGCATTCAAAATTCAAAATTTTTATTTCTTTGTAAAGTTTACAATGTGTGGTTTACATATTACAAAATATGAAGTACAAAGAAAGCCACTAGGAAGTACAAAGAAAGCCACTAGGAAGTACAAAGAAAGCCACTAGGAAGTACAAAGAAAGCCACTAGGAAGTACAAAGAAAGCCACTAGGAAGTACAAAGAAAGCCACTAGGAAGTACAAAGAAAGCCAATAGGAAGTACAAAGAAAGCCACTAGGAAGTACAAAGAAAGCCACTAGGAAGTACAAAGAAAGCCACTAGGAAGTACAAAGAAAGCCACTAGGAAGTACAAAGAAAGCCAATAGGAAGTACAAAGAAAGCCACTAGGAAGTACAAAGAAAGCCAATAGGAAGTACAAAGAAAGCCACTAGGAAGTACAAAGAAAGCCACTAGGAAGTACAAAGAAAGCCACTAGGAAGTACAAAGAAACCCAAAATAGGAAGTACAAAGAAAGCCAATAGGAAGTACAAAGAAAGCCACTAGGAAGTACAAAGAAAGCCACTAGGAAGTACAAAGAAAGCCACTAGAAGTACAAAGAAAGCCACTAGGAAGTACAAAGAAAGCCAATAGGAAGTACAAAGAAAGCCACTAGGAAGTACAGAAAGCCACTAGGAAGTACAAAGAAAGCCACTAGGAAGTACAAAGAAAGCCACTAGGAAGTACAAAGAAAGCCACTAGGAAGTACAAAGAAAGCCACTAGGAAGTACAAAGAAAGCCACTAGGAAGTACAAAGAAAGCCAATAGGAAGTACAAAGAAAGCCATTAGGAAGTACAAAGAAAGCCACTAGGAAGTACAAAGAAAGCCACTAGAAGTACAAAGAAAGCCACTAGGAAGTACAAAGAAAGCCAATAGGAAGTACAAAGAAAGCCACTAGGAAGTACAAAGAAAGCCACTAGGAAGTACAAAGAAAGCCACTAGGAAGTACAAAGAAAGCCACTAGGAAGTACAAAGAAAGCCACTAGGAAGTACAAAGAAAGCCACTAGGAAGTACAAAGAAAGCCACTAGGAAGTACAAAGAAAGCCACTAGGAAGTACAAAGAAAGCCACTAGGAAGTACAAAGAAAGCCACTAGGAAGTACAAAGAAAGCCACTAGGAAGTACAAAGAAAGCCACTAGGAAGTACAAAGAAAGCCACTAGGAAGTACAAAGAAAGCCACTAGGAAGTACAAAGAAAGCCAATAGGAAGTACAAAGAAAGCCACTAGGAAGTACAAAGAAAGCTGCTAGGAAGTACAAAGAAAGCCACTAGCATCTTTGATTCTGACAGCTTGAGGCATTCATAAATTATCTCGTGAACAGCAGTACATATTTCAAATTTCTCAATTTCTTCAATAAAATTGAGAAATTTGCACCTACACAATCCAAAATCAATTTAAGCTTTTCTCTAAGTAATATTTACTAACATTAAAGGTTTGAAGTTGATGAGAATAACCATTGATACATTAAACACATGTGCAACTCTTGGGTATCTTTATTGAGGAAACGTTTCGCCACACAGTGGCTTCATCAGTCCATACTAAGGAGAATCGTGAAGAACTGGAGGAGAAAGAGGTAATCAGTCCCTCAACCTTGAGTCGATGTGGTCAGTCCATCCTCCTGTTCTTCATGATTCTTCTTAGTATGGACTGATGAAGCCACTGTGAGGTGAAACGTTTCCTCAATAAAGATACCCAAGAGTTGCACATGTGTCTAATTTATCAAAGTGTCGGTTCTCTGAACCATTCATCTACAGAATAACCATTCTCCAGTTACTGCAGAGAAACTAATTTGTTTAATAAAACTAGCAAATTACAACTTATATAACCAAAGAGCAGTGTGAAGGTTCTCTTGAGAAAAACACACCAGCACTCACTCAGAGTTTGAAGCTGACTACAAGAAGTATTCTCCAGTTATTGTATGGATTCAAGATTTCCAAGTTTATTAACTATGATAGGTTAGTAAACAGGTAAATTTGTACCTATACAGCCTATTTAATTTAAGTCTGCCTGAAAATGCCTAGCCATGCTAGGTGTTCTAGTGGTACACTCTGTAATTATTATTTTACCACATGTAAACCACACAATAACAAAATTCTGTAAACTCAGCATTGTAATCCTTATAGAGAATAAACTTTGAATTTGAATTTGAATATTTGGGAGTGGACGTGTCAGCAGACAGATCTATGAAGGATGAGGTGAATCACAAAATTGACAAGGGAAAAAAGGTGAGTGGTGCACTGAGGAGTCTGTGGAGACAAAGAACTTTATCCATGAAAGCAAAGAGGGGAATGTATGAGAGCATAGTTATACCAACACTCTTGTATGGGTGTGAGGCATAGGTTGTGAATTTTGCAACAAGGAGAAAGCTGGAGGCAGTAGAGATATCATGTCTGAGGGCAATGTGTGGTGTGAATATAATGCAGAGAATTCGTAGTTTGGAGATTAGGAGGAGGTGTGGGATTACCAAAACTGTTATCCAGAGGGCTGAGGAGGGATTATTGAGATGGTTTGGACATGTAGAAAGCATGGAACGAAACAGTATGACTTCGAGAGTATATAAATCTGTAGTGGAGGGAAGGCCGGGTAGGGGTCGGCCTAGGAAAGGCTGGAGGGAGGGGGTAAAGGAAGTTTGTGTGCGAGGGGCTTGGACTTCCAGCAAGCGTGTGTAAGCATGTTAGACAGGAGCGAATAGCGACAAACGGTTTTTAGGGTTTAACTTGCTGTTGGAGTGTAAGCAAGGTCACATTTATGAAGCGATTCAGGGAAACCAGCAGGCCAGACTTGAGCCCTGGAGATGGGAAGTACAGTGTTTGCACTCTGAAGGAGGGATGTTAATGTTACAGTTTTATAACTGTAGTGTAGTCATGCCTCTGGCAAGACAGTGATGGAGTGAATGATGATGAAAGTGTTTCTTTATCGGGGCACCCTGCCTTGGTGGGAAACAGGTGATGTGTTAATAAAAAAAAACACCCAAAACCCAAAAGCTATCATCTTTTCGCCCCTCAAGGGAGGTTCCTTGATGCTGGTGAGGGGCTCTTGATCTAGGGAATTGGATCTGTGCTCCAGTTCCCTGAATTGAGCCTGAATGCTTTTCCCTCCCCTCCCTACAGGTACTGTATAATCCTATGGGTTTAGAGCTCCAAGATGATTATAATAATAATATTATCTTTCCTAAGATGCCTTGGTCATTAAATATTAAAAATATTTAGAAAAGACATAAGCTTATTTCACTGAAAAAATATCAGACCATTATAAAAACAAAATTAGCACCAACATACTGCAACGACATTAGCAACTTCTTCAAAGTAGGTTATACCAGCTTTTAAAATTTGAAGCTGATCAGACTTACTTTATCACACACAAGCCAAAATCAAGAATGCTTAATAAAACTGATGAATGGGCACCTTCCCAACTCAATAGTGCCATGAACCTTTCTCTAGTGATAGCTCATTAACAATGAAAATTTAAAAGCCAATTATATCAGGAGGGGATTTTTTCAATTATTTTTTTTAACATGTCAGCCATTTCCCACCAAGGCAGGGTGACCCAAAAGATAGAAAAACCCAAAAAGAAAGAAAAAACTTTCATTATCAGTCAACATTTTCACCATTACTCATACATAATCACTCATATTTGCAAGAAAAAATGACACTATATAGAGGAGCTTTTAAACCCTTAAATTGTCCAAATGTAGATCTACGTTTTTTCAACATTTGAAAGTATGTAAAAAAACATAGACCTTCTTTTTTTTTTTTTACATTTGAAAATGTGTAAAAAAAAACTTTGATCTACATTTTTTGTTATATTTGAAAATATGTAAAAAAACATAATCTACTTTTGGAGCACTATGCATGTGAACGTATATCTGTTTGGACAGTTTAAGGGTTAAAAGAGCTGGTCACATGGTGTTGACCCCTGAAACCCCCGCCAGGCATATGTATATGACTGGCTAGACTAAAGCCATACATAAATATACAGTGGACCCTCGACCAGCGATGGCATCGATTAACGATAAATCTGACTAGCGATACATTTTATCGCAAAAATTTTGCCTCGATTAGCGCTAAAAAACTCGACCAACACTATTCCTTCCGTCTGAGACACGTCCACTTCTGGCCAGTGTTTACAAGCCAGCCAGCCACCACGGTCGCTTCCAAGCATACAATCGGAACATTTCAGATTATCACAGCCTTTTTAGTGATTGCACCTGCAAAATAAGTCACCATGGGCCTGTAGTATTATGAGGTGCAATCTAAGAGGAAACAGCACCAAGGCCAGCAAGAAAACACCGAAAAATCAACTATTCAACAAGTGTAGCCAGGAGGACGCCGGCCCAG